AGGTGAATGTGTTTATGGCTGAGCAAGATGTGGTCTCCACATGAACTTAGTGAAGCAGGGTCATCAACAGCTAAAAGAGAGAGAGAAAAAAGAAGTGATATTCTGAAGACGGTTATCAAGGTAGTCATCATGAAACAGATCGGAACTTGGTTGGACTTCTTTACACTTATTTTCCGGTTTGGTACTGTTTTTAATGTTTTAATTACTCTCCGCAGTGGTGGGGAGATCAGGCCTCACAATCTTTCTGAGCCCATTGGGGCAGTGGCGAGGTGGAGGCCTTCAGGGCCACTGAGGGCTGGGAGTGGGAGGATGCTTTCAGACTGACCATCAGTAAAGAGGGAGTGTGTTGGGGGCTGGAGAGAATTAGCAGCAGCAAGTTTGGACCAAAAGGCAGCTGTCTTTCTCTGGACGGTTCTCCAGGCCAGCCCCAGCGCCCACTGGAACCTCTATGTGGAGACTGTTTCTTGACCCCCAAGGTGGAGGCTGCCGGGAGTCTCTGGGCCAAGTCATGCCCTCTGTCAGCACTCGGGCTGTTCTCCTGTGACTTCCCACCCCTATTTCACCACACTGCCCCTTGCATCCCAACCCCTGCCACTCTGCCCCAACAGTCTCTCCTGCGGGGACTAGTGGCCTCTACTCTCACTTATAACAGCATTTATCAAACCGTTATCGAGGAAAGGAACACTTTAACAGGCTCCTGACAGATCTTATATTAAAGATGGGGAACGTGGGCTCAGAAGAGTTAACCAGCTCAGCCCTAGGTAGTTAAGTGGCGGAGCTGGGATATGAACCCTGCACTGAGCCCGCTTGCCTTGTGGCTTTTAGGTCCTCCCTCTGGTCCAGGGCACAGTCTGGAAGCCCTAGATGTGCCTGTGCTCCACTGGCTAAGCCCCTATTCAGTGCCAAGAAACTCTGGCACTGAGGCTGGCCTGGGGAAACTTACAGAGAAGGCAGGCTGCCCCTCTGCACCGCCCCCCCCACCTTAGTGCTGCTGTTCCCTCCAAGCCTCTGGCACTCTCCTCCCCAAGGCAGTTCAGCTGCCCCTTTGGTCAGGGAAGTCACACAAAAAAAATCTGAGCTGGAGGTCCATGGCTTCCCCATTCCTGGACACCACCATCCAGGACACCCAAGGAAAGTCAACTCCTTCGCTCCCTCAACTCCAGAAAAAGGCGATGGACCCTGCACCCCTCTCGCAGTCACAGCAAGTGGCTGCCTCACAGCAGGGAACCCTGGGAGATAACTGGCCTAGGCTGTCCTCTGCTCAGAATCTCTGCTCTCTAGGCTCCCAGGGAGCCCACTGCTTCCAAAAGTCAGGCAGCTGGGGACTTCCCTGGTGGTGCAGTGGTTAAGAATCTGCCTGCCAATACAGGGGACATGGGTTCAACCCCTGGTCCGGGAAGATCCCACATGCCACGGAGCAACCAAGCCCGTGCACCACAACTACTGAGCCTGCGCTCTAGAGCCCATGAGCCACAACCATTGAAGCCCTCACGCCTAGAGCCCGTGCTCTGCGACAAGAGAAGGCAACGCAATGAGAAGCCCACGCACAGCAATGAAGACCCAACGCAGCCAAAAATAAATAAATAAATAAAATAAATAAATAAACAAAAATCAGGCAGCTGGAGTGATAGAAAGCTTAAGAAAACCTCATGAGATGCAATTGCTGGGTGAGCCCCAGGGACCCACCTCTCCCAACACCAAAGGCAGGCTTGGACTGGCCTTGTACCATTGTGATTGTCACCTCCACCTTCCCATCTCTAAAGGAGAGTTGATCCAGGATCTTGTTTCCTAGCTAACACATGGCCAGAAAGGTTTGAGACACAGCCTCATGCAGTGTTGGTGGTGAGCCTTACAGATCTCCCCAGCTTGGGCCGTGAGGGAAGGGTATCAGTATTTCATCCATAGGCACACTCACAGCCCCTGGGCTCCCCCTTCACACTCACGACAGGCTGAAAACAGATTAACAAAGGAATTGTGGCTTAGCCAACTGAAAGCTGGAAGGACCAGACTCTCCCCAGTGTTAGGCAGTGTATCAGGGGCCCACCTAGTTCTGTTAAAGCTTGGTGATATTATATCTTCCAAAGTAGGAAGTAAACCAGGCCAGTTGGAGGTTGCCTTGGCTCTAGACAACTACTGTCTCAGAGAGGCTTCTGGGGAACCAGGTGGCTGAAGACTTGACAACAGCCACTTTCACTTCGGGGGTGCAGGGCTAAGAGTAGGGGAAGGAGAGAAACCAAGTGAAAGAGAGAGTCTCTTGGACTTTTAAAGCATGACTTTGAGAGTCGCCACTCAGGATGCAGTCCTTGGACTAAATCTGATTCCCTTGTTAAAACGGCATAAAGTTTATTTACAAGTATCTGTACAGTTTGAGTGACAGGTCAGGACTTCACAGAAACAAAGAAAACAAAAGCATTCTTTTTGAAGGGAAGTTGCAGGCAGTAGACTTTCCCTGCACCTGTCAGAAGCAAGACAAACAGACCTATACATCATGAGCTAGGCATATGGACATTGGCCTTTTTGCTTCTTGGAAGGAAGTGAAAAATGTAGAAAGCTGCCTTAGGTGCCACACCCTTCAATACTGAAACCACATGGTGGGGTCGGGGTGGAGCAGTGGGCTGCTGCTGCGATTCCCCAGCACAAGAAATACCCGGAACCACCAAGAAGCCCAGCTGGTGGGATAAAGCCAATGCCTGGACCAGATCTCAGTTCAGAGGCCCTGCCTCAGCTGAGACTGCAAACAAGTCCTCGGTCTTGACTCCAATCACCAAGTAGGCTACTCAGGCGACAAGTTAACATTCTGTCTTCTTTGGTTGGCTTTGCTCCCTGCTGTGTTTTGGTGTCTCAGAATGAAAGTTTCATTAGCTGCATGTGGGGAGGTAGTGGCAAAATGGCTACAGTGTGATGTAGTTTTAATAAAAATTTTATTACACAGCCGTAATGTAACCGACACTTCTCCAAATCCAAATGATACTAAATACAGATCTACATGGTGGATCAGAATGACTCCAGCAAATTATATGGATTCTATAATTTCATGTCTTTTAAAACCAGAAAAAAGAAGTCCAAGTTTGTCACTATAGGAGAGGTCCCAGCAGCTTCCAGGACTCTGCTGGAGTCCAGGCAATGTTTAACAGTCTGTGATTCCACATTTACACAATAGTTTATAAAGAGTTTCGGTCAATGGACTATTCAAGTATATATGATTTTAATGAGTCCATCACCACTCCTTTGCCCAACCAAACTGTGTCACAGCCACCACATAGCTGTGTTACAGTCATATTTATCAATTTTACAGACACAATTCTTTTTAAAAACCATCGATTGCTGCTTTTTTCTTTTTTTAAATAAAAAAAGTATAAACTAAGTTAAAGCAACACTGAGGCTCTAATAAACCCGGAAGAGTTACCAAGTTCATTTTTATGTTTAAAAACAACTTAACTCCATGATTTCCCATCATCCCACTTTCTTATAGAAAGTAGGGTGAAGAAATACAAAGCGGGGCTTTGAGATGCCTCTCCCTCGTGTGGGAATCAGCAGCTCTCAGCTGTTCCTTTATCTTAGTTCTTGTTTTATATAGTCAGCTGTACTTTGTTCTGAAAAGATCTGTTAAATGCCACTTTTATTTACACTTGGAGCTTTACACCTGAGAATGATTATCAAGCAGTCAGCTTATCTCTTTGCAAATATTTCATAAAGACATACATACTTCTTTGCTGGCTTCACCCTAGCTGCACAACAATATATATGCTTACCATATATATATGTATACACACACACAAAACTGCACATGCTTGTAACATTTGCAACCTACATCTTTGTGTTCGTTCTCTCCACATTCATTTTGAATACTTTCTCTTAAAAAACAGAACAAAATATTATTCTTGCTGAAATGGCAAAACAGAATCACTAAGAGACAAGTGCATGGGGTGGAGAACAGACACACTCTACATTCAGCCAGGAAGCTGTGGGCTATACACATGGGCTGAGCAAGACACCTGCACTGCCCTCCCTGGTACCTGGCTGTGGGCTTCCCTCCCACCTGCCAGGACACAGCCGACAGGGCAGGGGCCAAACTGGGGGAGATTTCTCCAAGGTGGGGAGGTGATGGGGAAGAGGAGGTGGGGGAGGGGAAGTTACACAGCTACAGCAGTCAGGCCTGTTTAGTAAGAAGAATCACATTTAATGAGTTTCTTTCTTGCAGTTTCAGATGCTCAAGTACAGCTGAAAAAAATCTGAAACAGCTATAGACCCATGACAGACTGATACAAAGAGTACTGCATTTTTAAAAAATGATAAAAAAATCCACACACTTACAGACACATACACACATACACACTCTCTCTCAAATAGACCCCCCTCCCTCCCCACAAATGTACATTTTTTGGAAACTAAACTGGTTTTGAAAATCCTTCTTCCACAGAGATGGGAAGAAGAGAAAGATGAGGAGAGAAGGAGGAGGACTGCAGGTGCCCAGTCCCCACTCCCTCCAGAGGGTCAGGTGCCAAATGTTCAATGGTTGGGTCCAAGGCAGTCCATAGAGGAGGCTGCCCAGTGCTGCTGCTATCACCGCCAGGGGCTCCAGCAAGAATCCCAGCTCCATGGTAACACTGAATGCGTGCAGAGTGGCCAATGAATTGTGCTGGTTTAAAAAAAAAAAAAAAAAAGGCAAAAAAAAACATAAAAAACTGAGGACTGCAGGTGCCCAGTCCCCACTCCCTCCAGAGGGTCAGGTGCCAAATGTTCAATGGTTGGGTCCAAGGCAGTCCATAGAGGAGGCTGCCCAGTGCTGCTGCTATCACCGCCAGGGGCTCCAGCAAGAATCCCAGCTCCATGGTAACACTGAATGCGTGCAGAGTGGCCAATGAATTGTGCTGGTAAAAAAAAAAAAAAAAAAGGCAAACACAAATCTAAAGACATGGATAAAGCCCAAGAGAGCCCAGGTTCACACTGGGTGGGCCCTGGGGGGTTGGTGGGAGATGTTGCAGACAAGGGAAGTCTATACAGCAAATGGTTTATATTACAGATGACTGGCAGTTTAGAGTCTCTTCCCAGTTCTACTGCTGCTCCAGCCCAGTGAGGGCAAATCAAAGGAAAAGAGGAAAGGTGGGACACCGTGATGGGGCATGCAGGGTCAGAAGCAGCAGGCTGGGTGTGCTCAAATAAGCCCTCGTCGTTTTTTGTAGTCTTCCAAGTTCAGAGATCTCCTTGGAGCTCCATCCTTGGCTGGCGGAGCCTTGGAGGTGATGGCCAAAGCCTTTGACTCTATGGGAAAGAAGAGGCAAATCGGCATCTGAGGTCCTTTGGTCTTGTGCTTCACTCCTTCAGGTAGCCTTCCTTACTGTCCCTGTTCCCTCTCAAAACAGACCTGCATCCTGTCTTATTCTGGTCTCCATAAATACTGGTAAGCAGACACCCCCATTTCTTCCCTAAGATCAGGCCTCCTTGCTGGCTGAGAGCCATGGAGCCACGTGGTCCTTGCTCATCACCAATCTGCACCTTCACCTACCTGAGCTGGGAACTTGTAAATCAATCTTCACGTCGAAATCATGTACTTTGAACAAGTCTTCTGAGAGGTCACTGGCTGACTTAGAATTCAAATCTTTATCCTTTCCCTGACCCTGCAATGTGAAGAGAAAAAGTAATTACAAAGTATAAATGCAAGTGGACTTCAAGAAGCAGTGACCACTAATGGTTAAGGCTCCTGCTCGAGTTCATTAGATCTTCCTACTAAGGCCCTTTTCTGATTCCTTCTCTCAGAGGGAGGACAGGAGAGGCCACAAAGAAGTTTCTTTTCTGAGCCTAAAAGAGGAGAGGGAAGGGAAGGCTCATGTCTGTGGTGTGAGGGAGAAAGGGTGGGCTTAAGACAAGCCACCTCTGACCCAAGATTTTAGGAATTCCTGGAACAGTTTGGGCTCCTCAGGAAAAGGCAGAAAATGGCTTCTAAATGGGCAGTTTCTCTTGGTTTAACATTTTAGTTTTCAAAGAACTTTCACTTTTACAACTGCCTCATCCTTACACGTCAACTACTCCTCCTAATTGTCCTATGAGTTAAATAAGCAGGGTATATAATATTACCCCCACTTTACATATGAGAAAATGTAGATTAGAGGGCTAGAGGTCAGTTGCCTAAAGCCGTAGTCAAGGACTTCATTAAGTAGTGGTGTTGGGCTTAGAATTTAGGTCATCTGACCAGAATTCAGTAGTTGTTTATTACATTTGTAAATAATGAGGATGGAGAAAGGACTGCAAGTGGGACGCCATGTTCCTCCAGGTGGGGACAATCAAACCCGACCCAGGAAGTGCCTGCTCTGGTGTCCGGATCAGCGGCCGAGCTCCAGTAGTATACTTGCCTTGCTCATTTCCTTTGGAGCATCTGGTAACACTCCAGAACCGTATTTTGCGTTCAGCTGGGCCAATATGGCAGCTTGAACAGCCGGGTCTCTGGACTGAGAGAGAATGCAAGTTATTTTAGAGATGGTTCAACACTCACACAGTCCTACCACCAGCTTCTGTCCCACCTACCACCACTAACATCACAGGCACCACAGTGGGCCCATCAGCAGATCAGTGGGGTTTTCCTCCACGCTGCAAAAAGGGGCAATTAAAAGCTTTGAAGCCCAGCCCAGACGGGCCCTAGCTAGGCGCTTCAGCCTACACATTCCTCACCTCTGCTGCACTGGTAAACCTGCCCTGGCATAGGCGGTTAGTCCATAGGTTTCTACAAATCCATGCCAGGTTTTCACTACCTGTATGTCCTAGAGTAAGATAAAAAAAGGAAGTATCCAGACCCAAGAGTTTGAGGCAAGCAAATCCCACTAAGACAATATTATTTTTAACTTCTTTATTAATCTCCTAATGGAATTCATTTTATGTCCCAGAATCTAGGTCCTGACTAAAAACGTCCTCTTTAGGCACTCACATTAGAAACGATGGTAGGTTTACACTGTCGCCTGGTAAAAGGATCCATCTGTTGGTTTTTCATGTTGTGACTTTCAGCCTGAAACAGAGAGCATGTATTACAGAACTGTATCTCCTGCCCCCCGCCTCTCATTCATCATAAGCTTACATATAAATAACAGTCTGCAAGGTCCTGAAAAACGTCAAAGGCTGTCTATCATCCTTTTCCCTTTAAGAACACCAGAGCAGATTATGGGGGTAACAACCAAAAGAAAAAGACTGGAAATTGATAAAAATGAATACGCATGGAGTAGAATCTAAAGATGGGGAGGGATAAGACAGGGTAGAAGACTGCTGCTTTTTATTATAAATTAATAACTTATGTGGTTGTATGTGTGCCTACAGAGAAACTATGTGTGTGTTAAGTGTACACGTTACTTCAATAATTGAAAGATAAACTCAAGCAAGATACAGAAAAGATTGCATATTGTTTTATTACATATTGTTTTATTAATTAAAATTATTTTCAGTGATCCAGATAAAGTTGTCTTACTCACCACAAGGGCCTTCTCAGACTCCACAATGTTCCACTCCCGGTTCCGCTGGTTGATGTAACTGTGGGGTGAGTAAGAGGCATGAGTCAGTGGGCTGTGAAAGGAGGGAGGGGACCACTGACTCCTCACCCCGGAGATACGTGGAGCCACTGGGGCACAGTGCGTACAAGGCCACAGGCTCGCCTGATAATTGTGGACCAAGGATCTGTAACACACCTGATCGCAGATATGTTCTTGGTCCGCTGGCGGTCCAGGGCCTCTGCTCGTTCCTCCAGCTCATTCAGCTGGTCTTGGATTTGTTTGGCCTTGTCCTGATCCCCCAGGTCCTCGGCCATGGCCTGCACATAGAGAGACATGTGAGATTCTGGCTATGACTGGCTCTATATTAAGTGTCCCATTACTTCCAGCACAGGCAAGATACCTCACATGACGAACAAATGACAGGAGGTGTGAAAGAGTACTGAAAACAAACACCATAGAACCCAGGCCCCACATGGCTAACTCAGCCTAACAAGGCTCACCCCACCCTGATGTGAAGAACGGAAAACCACCCACCGCAGCTGGGCTTGGCAATATCATTCGTCTGTTCAGACCCAGTGCTGATACTACCCTGGGGTCTATCTTATTACACATGAAACTAAAGTGACTAGAAAGTGAGGAAAATGGAACAAGCAAGATCAGTTTCAATTTATAGAAAGGAAAACAGCCAAAGGATGCTGCCCAGGTGCCAAGAAAGCACACTGTTGCTTACATTTGAGCCCAGCATTTTCTCCCAATCCTGCCACTACTAACTTGAAAGATGGTGAACAAGTTTGATTTCCACATCTCCTTACAGGACAGGGAGAGGGGTTCAACCACAAGCCCTCACCTTTTCCTTTAGGAGCTGCGTTTTCTTCATAGCATAGTTGGGTGGAGCTTTCCTGAATCTTTCTTTCTCTTTTACAATCTGTACCAGAGAGGAGATATCAGCAGTGAGGTATTTCTAAATTAGTTTTGTAGGCAAGATAGGTGAGCCCATTTTGGAGGTAAGCAGCTAGTTAAACGGGGGCTGCTCTTCCTATAGCAATGCCATGCCCCACAGAGAGAGCGAGTTCATTCCAAGGGATACTATGCTGCTTCCGGGGTTACGGAGATTCTTCTGGGATAGTGGGAAGAAACATGCACCAATAAACAGCAGCAGCCCAAGGACCTTGTACTGTCAGGCTAGCCACTGTCCAAGCGAACAGAGATCAAAGAATTTTACTAAAATGTTTTGGAAAAAGAAAACTCTTGAAGGACCAAGTCTAGAAGAAGAATACAGATTCCTGAACCCTGAATACACTTCCTTAGTCTATGACTTCAAGTGAGAATGTACGGAGAAAATCTTGATGAACTATAAATAATAAGGTAGCGGTATTAGTATTCCCTCTTCCTCATGCAACAGTAGCAGAGCCAAAAATGTCAAGATACAGGAAAGAAAAGAAAGGCATGATCTTCTCTAACACTGGTTCTTGATAAGCCTCCGGACTCTGGGGTACCAGGTTTCTTACCTCTTCAATGTCCTGGTCATTGAATTTATAATTAAGAGCTTCTTTAATAGATAATTCCTTCTTATTGATTTCATCTAGAGTGGGCAACTGCATGCCAGCAGAGAACATCTGGACCAAAACATGATAAAAGGTTATTTATGATAAAGGGTTTTGGAAAGAGGCTCTCTCAGTGTTTTCATCAACAACTGCTAGGGAGGTGCTGTCTGTCCACTTACCGCTTCTTTCCACTTCATGAATTCGCTTTCAGTAAACTCTTGGTTTGAGACAAACTCTAGGCGGAACACTCGCTGGTCACTGCCGTGCCTACACAAAAAAGAGCAGCTTCAGGAATGGGTATGTTGACTGCAGCGCCAGAAGAGCAACCCCACCAGACTGTACACCACCTGTCTCCGTGGGTTTCCATCATAGCTACACTTTAGAATCATCTAGGAATATTTACAAAACTTCTAGTGCCAAAGCACCACTCTAGATCAACTGAATCAGAATCTCTGGGAGTAGGAACCAGGCACTGAAATTGTACACACAAAAAACCCTTCCCAGGTTGTTCTAACGGGCAGCAGGGATTAAAAATCAAAGTGAGCCCCAGAAACAAGTGGATTTGGCCAGTGCTTCAAAAGTCCATTTACAATAAAATCCATCACAGTCAACTGGCATCAAGAATATGAAATATTACATAGATATCTGAATGACAAGGAAGCTCTATCCCTAGAAAGAACACTGCCGTTCTACTGACTCCTGTGCTGGCCACGTGAGTCAGTGCCATCCTCCCAGATATAGTCACTCGCAGCACGTCATGGCTGCTGCCCACACCAACTGGCTCTTTTCAAACAGTCCAGGAGAAATGATGGGAATGGGAGAAGGGAACAGAGAGACCAGAGAGGCCAAGTAGGGCCATGGCAGAGCCTTGTCTATGACCCACTATTTGCAGTCACCTGGCAAGCTACTTCTATTCCTTCCCATATAGGGCCTTTAGAATTTTCAGGCTCCAAGACGATAGGGATTTGTGTGTGTATTTTGTTCTCGCTTCTATCCCGATGACTAGAACTGTGGCATGTAGCCAGCATTCAGTCAATATCATGTTATTGAAGCAGAAACCAAGTCCAAAAAGGTAACCTGGCTTGTGAAGGATCAAGTTAGTTAGTGATGGAGCCAGGACCAGAAGCAAGCCTCCTGACCATGCTCACCAAGGAATGCCTGCAGGATTCTGGGAGGAGGGGGTCTCGCAATCTGACATTTTCCTTCTATGTGTCCCACCGCTCCATATCCCTGACTTCCCCCTATGAGAGAGATATATCCTACTTTCCCTATAGGCAAAGGTAGAATACAAGTTTCCCTCCAAGTCCCCTGCGGGGATAACACAAACAGTATTACTGTAACAAGAAACATCACACTGGGAGTGAATAACAGCCCCAATAGGCAGTGCCTGTTTGCAGCGGGAGCAGAAGCTGCCACGGAAGCACCTCTCCTACCGTAGCTGTAGCCCTTTGTTTGTTCTGGTGCCACCAAGCTGGTAAACTTTGGCGGTTTCCACTACACCCGTGATTTCAGCAACCTAAGTGAGGACATAGACACCAATCACAACAGACTCTTTCAGAGATCTCCACCCCACCCTCTGGCTCCATCTGCATGAGTGCAGATGAGTGACCCCGCACTGAGAGAAGCCCACAGCTGCCAGGTGTTCTGGACACCTTTCTCGGGCTTAGAACTCAGATGGCCAGGCACCTGTGCCCAGAGTTAAGCAAGCACCAGGCGAGGAGGCAGTTAGCCTGGTGGGGCGTTGGAAGCTTCCCCTCCAACTTAATTCTACCTTACTAAGGGGTGCACCTGGATTTCAGAGGTCAGTTTTGTCAATCAAGTGTGAAGACCATGAGGTCTGTTTCTGTTGCCAAGGTTTCTGGGACATGGCATGGCCCCTGGTCCTCACAGAAGGAGGCAAAACACATGAAAACCAAACAACCCAGAACAAAACAAACAAAAACAAGAAGAAAAAAAATCAAACAGCTATGTTCTAGTCATCTAGACCACAGAAGCAGAGCTAGAACTCACAAGATAATTTCTATTAGGTTGGAGGGTTTTTTAAAAAAAATAAATGTATTTATTTATTTTTGGCTGCATCAGGTCTTTGTTGCTGCGTGCGGTCTTTTCCTAGTTGCAGCGAGTGGGGTCTACTCTTCATTGAGGTGCGAGGGCTTCTCACTGCGCTGGCTTCTCTTTGTGTGGAGCATGGGCTTCAGTAGTTGTGGTGGTGCACAGGCTTAGTTGCTCCGCAGCATGTGGGATCTTCCCGGACTAAGGTTCGAACCCGTGTCCCCTCCATTGGCAGGCAGATTCTTTTTTTAAAAAAAAAAATAATTAATTTTTGGCTGCATTGGGTCTTCGTTGCTGCGCATGGGCTTTTCTTTAGTTGCGGAGAGCAGGGGCTACTCTTCATTGTGGTGCGCAGGCTTCTCACTGCGGTGGCTTCTCTTGTAGTGGAGCACGGGCTCTAGGGACACGGGCTCAGTAGTTGTGGCTCACAGGCTCAGTAGTTGTGGCTCGCAGGCTCTAGAGTGCAAGCTCAGTAGTTGCGGCATACGGGCTTAGTTGCTCCATGGCATACGGAATCTTCCTGGACCAGGGCTCGAACCCACATCCCCCATGCTGGCAGGGGGATTCTTAACCACTGTGCCACCAGGGAAGTCCCTGTTCGTCATTTTTCAAACCTCAATATAACTCCCTGTTCCAGAAGTCACTTAGTATGTAACATGGAAAATTTTCATTTATTTATTTTTCAAATGAACAAATCTTCTAGATTACATAACGCTTGAAAAATACTTCGTAAGTATCTGCCTTCTCACATCTACATGAAAGGAGGATAGAGAAAATTGTTCTAAATCTAAACCCTTGGGCTCCAAGTACTCCTCCTGGCAGCAGGTCACAATAGATCTCTGGTTGGCTCAGACTGTCACTGCTCTAAGGGCACCTCAATTGGAGTCTATTTTCCCATCAAATGGGAAAAGTGACAGATTTGTTCAGTAGTTCCTACTCCTAGCTAAGAATCATTATATTTAAAACATGGACAATTGTCCAAGGAAAGAAATACTAACCCGGTAAACTGGTTTGCTATTGTGGTTTCCAATGCCAATCCGTACAAAACATCCTGTGACAGTTTTAGCAAAGAAGGGCATGTGACACCAACGTTCCAGCTTATGCCGTGATAATCGAACCCGATTCAGTTCCTCCGGTAAGGAGACCGGTTGTGATTTTGGAGGGATCTCTTCTTTCCTGTGAGGAACAAAGGACACTGGGGAAAATGTGCATCATAAAAACAGATCAAGGTAAATAAATAATACCAACTTCTTAAAACTTAACGAAGTATGTGTGATTTCACACAGTAGGAGAAATAAATGAAGCAACAGGAAAGTGGGAATAGAATCCTATTCCTAACCAGTAGTGTGAACTGTCTCAAATGAGGCTGCCATCCCAGATAACCTATCAGACTAGGCAAACTAATGGAAGCTCCTGGCCAATCTGAGGGTGACATGAAGGCAGCTCCTACCTGCCTGGCCCTGATGAAATGTGCAGGGGTACAGGCTAAGAGCCAGCAGCAGAAGTATATGTTTGGGCTGATGTGCTGGGGAACCCAGCTCGGCAATTCAGGGTATGGAACCAAACCAAAGTTCGTCACCCGAACAGGGGAAATTTGGAAACTACACTAAGCCTTTCCCCAAAGAACCCACCTATCCTGACTACTAGACCAAAATGTACACAGCTTACTCCTCTTCTTCATCAGAGGACGATGTTCGGGATGAGCGGTCTGACTTTTCACTGGACTTGTCATCTTCCTCCTCCTCCTCATCGTCAGAGTACACCTCACTGGTTTTTAATGGCTGTTTCTTGGCGAGGAGCTCAGCTTAAAAAAAGAGGAAATGTTTACCTAGATTCTCTCAATAAGAAGCTGAAACATCTTTCATCCCTGAAAAAGAACTGGAACATGGAAAAGGACTCAATAGACAGCTCCATTCTCTCTGGCCTGGTTTGTGATTACTTGTGTTAACAAGTACATTAACCAGAAAGTTTAAGTCACACCGAATGTCAAGCCACGGTAGACAAAAAAAAAAGGGCTGGAAGACTGTCACTAAGTGGGCAAAATGGGTCACCAACTCTACTGACAGCTGTCTTTTATATCTCTCAAGGCACTTGAAGATTGGCAGGAAAATTGGGGAAAAACTTAAGATGTCTTCAGAGAGTCTTTCAGGAAAAACTTACTTTGAGTTTACAGTACTATTTGTAATAGCAGGAGACTGAAAACAACCCAAATGTCCACAAAGGGGAGTGGCTGAATCACCTCTAGCACATCCACCCAATGAACTACGCTGCAGCTGTAAAAAAAGGAAAGAGCCGAGCCTTACACTGCATCCTGAGTCAGAAAATGTTTTAAATGAACACATAAATATTTTTAGGACAGGCTTTATATGGTCACTGTATCAAATACTCAACTTTGCTACTGTAGACAGAAAGTAGTCACAATTATGAAAAAATGGGCATCATTGTATTTCAATAAAATTATTTACAAAAACAGGTAATCTACTAACCATTGCTCATCATAAAAACTAAGGAGTGATCTTTAGAATATATGGTTAAGTGAAAAAAGCAAGGTAGAGAGAAGTGTGTGTAATGCACTAACATTAATCTAAGATGGAAGGTGAATCTGTGTCCTTTTGTTTAAAAAATAAAGAGGAAGGATATAAAAAAATTTTTTTAAGTGGTCGTCTACTATGGGAGGGAGGCAAGGGGTGAAAGAGAAGGCTATAGATGCTAAATTTCTCTGAATATACCTTGCTTAGTAGATTTGACTTTGGAACCTTGCATCGTGTATAATCATAGAACAGAACAATAAGTCATCTCTACAGATCACAAGCAAAATAAAACAAAGTACTCATTCGATGGCACAACCACACAAAAAACAACTATAACAAGTGTTTTGTGTTGGGGTTTTTTTTTTGACTGTGGGGCTTGCAAGATCTCATTCCCCTGGTCAGGGATTGAACCCAGGCCACGGCAGTTAAAGCGCTGAATCCTAACCACTAGACAACCAGGGAACTCCCAACAAGTGACTTTAAAACATAGTCATTCAAAAGACAGACATACAGACCAATGAAATAGAGAGCCCAGAAATAAACCCTTGCATATATGGTCAGATGATTTCCAACAAGGGTGTCAAGACCAATCAACAGGGAAATGACAGTCATTTCAAAAACTTGTGCTGGGGTGGGGGGACTTCTCTTGTGGTGCAGTGGTTAAGAATCTGCCTGCCAATGCAGGGGACACGGGTTCAATCCCTGGTCCAGGAAGGTCCCACAAACCGGGGAGCAACTAAGCCCGTGCGCCACAACTACTGAGCCTGTGCTCTAGAGCCTGTGAGCCACAACTACTGAGCCTGCGTGCCACAACTACTAAAGCCCGGGCACCTAGAGCCTGTGCTCTGCAACAAGAGAAGCCACTGCAATGAGAAGTCCATGCACTGCAATGAAGAGTAGCCCCCGCTCGCCACAACTAGAGAAAGCCCGCACACAGCAACAAAGACCCAGTGCAGCCAAAAATAAATAAATTTATAAAAAAACAAAAGAAAAACAAAAAACAAACTTGTGCTGTGGTACTTCCCTGGTGGTCCAGTGCTATGACTCCATGCTCCCAATGCAGGGGCCCCGGGTTTGATCCCTGGTCAGGGAACTATATCCCACATGCCTCAACTAAGAAGTCTGCATGCTGCAACTAAAGATCTCTCATGCTGCAAAGAAGATACTGCACATGGCAACGAAGATCCTGTGTGCTGCAATTAAGACCCAATGCAGCCAAATAAATAAATAAATAAATAAATATTAAAAAACAAAACAAACAAAACAAACAAAAAAAAACCGAAAACAAACTTGTGCTGGGAAAACTGGATATCCCACATGCCAAAAAAAAAAAAAGTGGACTCTAACCTTACACCATATACAAAAATTAACTCAAATGGATAAAAGATCATTTTTTTTCTTTTCTTTTGGTTGCGCCGGGTCTTAGTTGTGGCACATGGGATCTTCGTTGCCACGTGCAGGATCTTCGTTGCAGCATACGGGATCTAGTTCCCTCACCAGGGATCAAATCCGGGTTCCCAACATTGGGAGCGTGGAGTCTTAACTACTGGACCACCAGGGAAGTCCCTGGATCAAAGACCTAAATGTAAGAGCTAAAACTATCAAACTCTTCAAAGGAAACAGGGGAAAGCTTTATGACACTGGATTTAGCAATGATTTATTGGATGTGACACCGGAAGTACAGGCAACAAAAGAAAAAAAAGTGAAGGCAAACAGTACTTCACCAAAATTAACTTATGCATCAAATGACACTATTAAAGAGTGAACGGACAACCTGTGGGAGAATGGCAGAAAATATTTGTAAACCGTGTCTCTGATAAAGAATTAATATTCAAAATAATTTAAAAAGTCTTCAACTCAACAAGAACCAAAGAACTTGATTAAAACATGGGCAAAGGACTTGACTAGACATTTCACCAAAGAAGATATCCAAATGGCCAATAAGCATACAAAAAGATACTCAACATCACCCGTCATTAGGAAAATGCAAATCAAAACCACAACAAGATACCACTTCATGCTCCCTGAAATGGTTATAATCATAAAGACAATGACAAGTGTTAGTGAGGATGTGGAAAGAGGGGAACCCTCATAAGTTGCTGCTGGGAATGCAAAATGGTTAAGCCTCTTGGAAAACAGCCTGGCAGTTTCTCAAAAGGTCAAACACAGGGCTTCCCTGGTGGCGCAGTGGTTGAGAGTCTGCCTGCTGATGCAGGGGACACGGTTCGTGCCCCGGTCCTGGAAGATCCCACATGCCGCGGAGCGGCTGGGCCCGTGAGCCATGGCCTCTGAGCCTGCGCGTCCGGAGCCTGTGCTCCGCAACGGGAGAGGCCACAACAGTGAGAGGCCCGCGTACCGCAAGAAAAAAAAAACAGTCAAACACAGAGTTACCATATGCTTTAACAATTCCACTATAAATGCTCAGAGCAGCATTATTCATAATAGTCAAGTGGAAGCAACCCAGTGTCCCTCAAAAGGTGAACGGATAAATAAAATGTGTATATCCATACAATGGAATATTATTCAGACATAAAAGGAAGAAGTATTGTTACGTGCTACAACATGGATGACCCTAGAAAGCATGCTACGTGAAAGAAGCCAGACGCAAGAGATCATATATTGTATGAGTCCATTTATATGAAATGCCCAGAATAGGCAAGTCTATAGTGACAGAAAGTAGACCAGTGGTTGCCTAGGGCTGGGAGATAACAGGTCCGTAGCGGGGTGACAGTTAAGGGATATAGGGTTTCTTTCTGGGGTAATGAAACATCTTAAAACTCATTGAGTTTTACTACACAGCTGTGAATATACTACAAGCCATTGCCTTGTATACTTTAAATGAGTAAACAGTATGGTACCTTAATTATACCTTAAGAAAGTTGCTATAAATCAAAACAAAACAAAAAAACTTGGTATCCTGGTTTTGAAATGGACATACCAGTATGAGGCTCAAAATAAATTCTTAAAAAAAAAAAAATCCTAGCTGTGGACACTGAAAAGACTTAGAAATAATAACCAACCCAGTCGCACTCCTGCGTCTAGACTATGGTGTCTAAATACAATTTCTCATGAGAAAAAAAAACCCACCCAAAACCCAAAAAAACCCAGGGCTCCTTAGAGAAATGTCTGATTCCAAAGCAAGAAAGCTATTAAAGACTACTGGGGTTTCACGTCAAAAGGACTCAGGCTACAAAAAAAAAAAAAAAAAAAAAAAAAAAGGACACAGGCTACAACTGCTTGAAAATAAGACAATTTGAGTCTCAACAATAATAATAATAATTGCAATGGAGTAAAAACATAAAGTATGGGGTCTTCCCTGGTGGCGCAGTGGTTAAGAATCTGCCTGCCAATGCAGGGGACACGGGTTCAAGCCCTGGCCTGGGAAGATCCCACATGCTGAGGAGCAACTAAGCCCGTGCACCACAACTACTGAGCCTGCAAGCCACAACTACTGAGCCCGTGCGCCTAGAGCCCATGCTCCGCAACAGGAGAAGCCCGCGCACTGCAACGAAGAGTAGATCCTGCTCACAACTAGAGAAAGCCCGCATGCAGCAAAGAAGACCCAATGCAGCCAAAAATAAAAATAAATAAATTTATAAAATAAATAAATTTATATTAAAAAACCCCATAAAGTATGTTAAAATCCATGAGTTCACAGGGATATTCAAAATAAACAAATTTCACTAGTTATCTTTGGAGTTTGCCAAGGAACTATCTCATTCTTTTGAAAACTAGTAAATAAAAGGGGGAAAAAAAGGCAAGAATTTACTCTGCCTTTCCTATACAAAATGTCCCTGGTGGTAACTGAATAGCTGATGAGAAGTTTCTCTTTCCAGAAGCATACCAGATAATAAATGAAGAAAGAACGACAGATTAGAATATCACCATTTTGTGGCTTAAAGACTTAAATATAAGACATGACACCATAAAACTCCTAGAAGAGAACACAGGCAAAACATTCTCTGACATAAATCGTACCAATGTTTTCTTAGATCAGTATCCCAAGGCAAGAGAAATAAAAGCAGAGACTTCCCTGGTGGTCCAGTGGTTAAAAATCCACCTTCCAGTGCAGGGTATGTGGGTGTGATCCCTGGTCAGGGAACTAAGATCCCACATGCCAGCAGGCAACTAAGTCCGCATGCTGCAACTACTGAGCCTACATGACACAGCTAGAGAGCCTGTGTGTTGCAACTACAGAGCCCACGCGCCACAACCAGAGAGAAGCCCACACGCCACAACGAAAGATCCTGCGTGCCACAACTAAGACCTGATGCAGCCAAAAATAAATAAACAATTTTTTAAAGGAAAGAAATAAAAGCAAAAATAAACACATGGGACCTAATCAGACTTATAAGCTTTTGCACAGCCAAGGAACCCATAAATAAAATGAAAAGACAACCTACAGCCTGGGAGAAAATATTTGTTACTATTTTTTAGGTATAGTAATGGCACTGTAGTTATGTTTAAAATAGGAGTCCTTATCTTTTAGAGGCACATATTGAAATATTTATGGTTGAAATATGATGATGCTGGGATTTACTTCAAAATAACCCAAAGGAAGAGGGCAGTGTAGATTTAATAAGATTGGCTATGAGTTGACTGCTGAAGTTGGAGGATGGGTTCATGGAGTTTCATTACACTATTCTCTGTATGTGTTTGGAACTGCCTATACTAGAGAGCTAAAAAGGGGGAAAAATAAAAATTGGCATCAGGAAGTTAAATCATATGATCAAAGACAAAGTAGCCATCACATTTTCCCCAACTACCTGTTCTGTTCTTCCGTTTTTCTCGCTCTGCTTTTAGCTCCTCCATGGCTTGAGATTTCTTATCTAGTTTCTCATCCCGTTTGGAACGTCGTTCCTTGTTATGGGATGTTACCTGGGAAGGGAAAAATATGTAGGATGGCTCTTTTTACCAACAGCTGATGATAACATTCTCTATACCTAAAAATCATTCAGTTCTCCAATGTCAATCTATATTGGTTGCAGAAATTGAAATTTGCTTAAGAGGAGAGAGCATCCTCTTGTGGACAAAGAGGATAGAGCAGTAAAGTCAGTCCCTGTCTTACCTGCCTAATAAACAGAAAGCCTAAGAAGTATAAGAATAAACACTTTCTGGAAGGATTCCCTAGATCACAGCTAATATATGTTAATACTGTCAACAAAGCTTTTTGTGATAAATGCAAAGATGACTAATTTTCCCAGCTACATTTATTACCAAGTCCAGGATGACATACACCTGAGTAAACATCATAACCAATTCAGCTACCGGGGACAGGAAGTTTACAAACTTTCCCTTAAGGAGTGCTCACACACCAATGAGCTGCTTTTTACATGCAGACTTGAGTAGAATTCCCATGGAGTTAAATAGCACAGCTAATGGTGAAATGACATGTCCAGAGATTAATGAAACCTATAAGACGAAGATAGTACATAAATAGTTTTGCACTAACTGACCTAGGCTGATTAATATACACCCATCTTTTATATAAACACACACACACACTCAAAATAGAGGTTTTATTCTTTGGATAACGAGGACTATTGAATCTCCTACCTGAGATTCTTGAATCTGTGTCAGTTTCTTCTTTTCCTGCTCCTCTTCTTGCTTTTTCTTTTTTTCTTTCTTTTCTTTCTTTTTGGCTGTTTTCAGTTTTTTCCTGATTTCAAATCTGTTTAAAATATATTTGTTTGGTTTTTAAGTGGCAATGAAATATTTGTAGACTGATTTCTATTAGATAGGAGAAAGGAATTAAGTGCGGGGAAGGAGTTAATAAATGTTTTGGTTTCCTGTAAGAAACTCCAATGTATCTTATAAGTACATTAGAAATATTGAATATAAATACACCAAAAGTACTTGAAAGCATTAAGGTGGAATAGATTTAAAATGAGAGAATACTGAGGATACTGTTGTATCCTGTTGGTAACGCACTGCTCTTCCTCAACTTCACATAATGGAAGAAAATAGTTGATTCTTGGATCAACTCCAATGGTGTCCCATTAGAAACATAATGAAGCCACAGAGAGCCACTGTCACACACACCACCCACCCACACACACACACACACACACACCCGCCCCCCGTACGCGGGCCTCTCGCTGTTTTGGCCTCTCCCATTGTGGAGCACAGGCTCCGGACGCGCAGGCTCAGTGGCTAAGGCTCACGGGCCTAGCTGCTCCGCGGCATGTGGGATCTTCCCGGACTGGGGAACGAACCCATGTCCCCTGCATTGGCAGGCGGACTCTCAACCACTGTGCCACCTGGGAAGCCCCACTGTCACATATTTAAGGTAGTCAAGACACAGGCTGTATTTTAAAAACACCACTCTCCATCTTTCTTCATTAGGAAAAATGCCTCCCTCAGCTCCACCCCAGCAAACATGTGAATAAATATGCTATTCTCTTAAACAAATGCAATCTAGGCTCTCTCCCTGTAACAAAAAGCAGGCTTTTATGAAACAAAACTATTTTTTTGTGTGTGAATTTAAGGAACTTTATGGAAGGAATAAAGGAATATAATAAATATTAAACTCTTTTCATAACATTCTAAAATAACCCCAATTATGAAAATTTTTACTTAGTTCTTAATAGGATCAATATACAAAAATTAACTGTATTTCTATATACTTGCAATGAATAATCCAAAAATGAAACAAAGAAAACAATTCCATTTACAGTAGCATCCAAAAGAATACAATATTTAGTAATAAACTTAACAAAACAAGTGCTAGTCTTTCACACCCAAAACTAAAGGACTGTTGAAACAAATTAAATAATACCTAAGTAAGTAGAAAGATATCACATTCATGGATTAAAAGACTTAATATTAGATGGCAATACTTCCAAATTTGATAAACAGATTCAACACAATTCCTATAAAAATCCCAGCTGCTTCTTTTGCTGTTGCAGAAATTGATAAGCTGATACTAAAATTCCTATGGGAATGCAGAGGGCCCCATATAGCCACAACAATTTTGAAGAAGAACAAAGGTGGAGGACTTAACACTTCCCAAGTTAAAAATTGACTACATAGCTACAGTAATCAAAACAGTATGGTACTGGCATAACCATAAACATAATGATCAATGGAACAGAATACAGTCAACAAATAAATCCATATATCCATGAACAACTGATTTTCAACAATGGTGCCAAGACTGGGGAAAGAACAGTCTCTTCAACAAGTGGTACTGGGACAACTGGATAGCTACATGCCAAAGAATAAAGTTGGATTCTTACCTCACACCATATACAAAAAATGATCTCAAAATGGATCAATGAGGGGGAGAGGGATAAATTAGGAGGTTGGGATTAACATATACACACTACTATACATAAAACAGATAATCAACAAGCGCCTACTGTATAGTACAGGGAACTCTACTCAATACTCTGTAACAAACTGTATGGGAAAAGAACCTGAAAAAGAATAGATATATGTACATGTATAACTGAATCACTTTGCTGTACACGTGAAACTAACACAACATTGTAAATCAACTGTACTCCAATATAAAATTTTTAAAAATGGATCAATGATCTAAACATAAGACCTACAACTATAAAACTCTTACAAGAAAACATCTGGGTAAATACTCATGAACGTGGATTTGGTAAGATTCTTAGATATCAAAAGCTGCAGCAAGGGCTTCCCTGGTGGCACAGTGGTTGAGAGTCCGCCTGCCGATGCAGGGGACACGGGTTCGTGCCCCGGTCTGGGAAGATCCCACATGCCGCGGAGCGGCTGGGCCCATGAGCCATGGCCGCTGAGCCTGTGTGTCCGGAGCCTGTGCTCCGCAACAGGAGAGGCCACAACAGTGAGAAGCCCGCGTACCGCAAA